CACTGATTTTCAGATCTTCAAAGGTGAGAAATACATCAATGGCAAACACTGTGGAAATCACTTGTCCCAGGCCAGTATCCATTTGATACCAAGTCTTTTAACTGTGGTGTCCACTGGCAGTTTTCACAGGTCAGCAGAGGAACATGGAGGTCATAACGACCTGTTGGGACAAGTAAATCAAATTTACATTTAAGGCAAGAAAATGTTTGTGCACTATTACAAATGTTGAAAGATATGTTACCATTTATATTGATGACGATCACTTTTTGTCCACCACTGACTGACACATTTTCTGCATCACAGCTGCAAATATTTTTGGGCAGAGTAAATGGCAGTAGACGAACTATGTAAAAGATAAAGGGATAATAGTTAGTTCTACCGGGTTGGAAGAAGGGCTTTGTAACTGCCCCCTATCTGTTGTGCAAAGTGTATTGCCGATGGACAGCAATATCACATTTGGAGCAAAGCATTTGTTTGGGATCTTCCCTGCCTCCAACATGGCCTCAAGAAGCTGAGGTCTTGCTTTCTGCCATCTTTCAAGGCATAAAGCCTGACGTATTGTCCATCTTCGACCATATGAGGCAGATGAGGCTTCAGTGGAATTTGAACGTCTACCATCATCCTCTTCAACTGCTTCTAGCAGTTTTTGCAGTTATTTTATTTGAATATCTTGAGAAATAAAGTAAACAGATAACAGACCAAATAGATGGAAAATAAATAATCAGACAGATTGATAAAATAACTTTGAGGTGGCTAATAACATTCAGTGTCATGTTCACCTATATTGTTTTAAGGAAACTAAATTATTCGAGTAGAAGTAAAATGCCTTAATGAGTGACTTGAATGGATACAATAATCTAAATAAAAACAACAGCATTATAGTATTTTGATGGAATCTTAACAATCATATTGTGAGTCTCTTGTACGTCAGAGGTGAATGTGCCTGCAGAGCAACACATACAGAGAATTAATGTCAATACTACATTTGACCTAAACTGTGACCTTTGACTCAATATTGCATCCATGTTTACAAGGTTCATTTAGCACATTACCATTACTTCTTTTTTTCTTTGTAATACAAGTTGTACTTAATTTATCTTATAATTCATTTGAAAGTGTGTCCGGTACATATGGCCCCATACATACCAACTATATATAGGACAAACTTGCAAGAATTATAAGTGCTTACCTTCTGTACTGTCAACATGTTCTGCAGAAATATTATGTTGCTGCGTCTGGCAAGATTTTTTCTGACGTTTGGAGTACGCTAGGAAGACAAGGATAGTGATTACAAAATGTAATTATAAAAAAGCAAGGGAATAACAGTGACACAGTATGATTTGGCATTACATACTTTTTGAGGAACTGTGACTCCGTACAATCAGCCGCCCAAATTAGTCTTGTTTTCTCCATTTTACTGCAGGCAGACGGCCCTATACAGTATGTTGATGAAAACGTCACGTCACTTCACCACCCAATTACAATTACCAGTTAAATCACAGTATGACAACTGCTAAATTAAATGTAAATATAGCTTTTGGTAAGCAGCAATTACCTCCTTCATTTTTACTTTAGCACTGAGTTTAGCTTTAACTTCGGAGATTTCCAACTTGTCTTCATGAGAGTCATCGTCATTAAAATTTCCATAGATCCTTCAAGGGGACTGTCTCCCAGCCATGGTTCTCTGGTATCTGAAGGTATCACAAACAGAAACTGTAGCCTATTTGAAAAAGTTGTACTATTAGGCTGGTTGAAGACACGAGCTTATACAGATTGTAAATAGCAATTTAAAAAAAATCTAACGCTAACATTATTTTTCTTAGCTCCCAGTACATTATAACAGCTAACATTTAGGTTAGCTTAAATGTAAAAGGGCTTTGACAACAAATGTAAGGCTATATTTTTATTTAAGGTGAAGTAACATACTCACTTCGGATGGAATTAGTTCAGAATGTTTTCAACAAATAACCTGGTGGATCCCCAAATAATATTTGTCTGCTGACAGAAAAATAGTAGAAATATGGACCCACAGGAGTCGAACCGCTGATTATGACTGACCCATGATGTTCAAGTGTTATCTGAACTACCACTGAGCCACGGAGCGAAGATGATGTGTTGAAGTACTCATCGTGTAACATTCACATTAGTAAATGCTTCACAATAATACAACCTAAACTTGAGCGAATAGGTATATAATACAGTAACCTTGTAATATATCTACAATATAGTCAAACACTGGCTGCCGTTTCTTCTTGCATCATTTACAACCACCGAAAGCAAATACCCAATTGCAGTCGAACCGTGATCATTTTACGCGCTTTGTACCACAACAGTGATAAAACATGGAGGCATCTCAAATGTGAGCAAATTTAAATCATAAATTGTTTTCTGATCCCCATGGGGAAATAGTTGAACGTAACAGCTCTTGTAAATACGCATGACAAATACAGGAGTAGGTAAAATGTCTGTATGCTAGAATATACAACACATGTAGAGAAATACAACTAAAGTAATTCAATAACACTAATTTGTGCAGTAAAAACATTCAATATATAACTAGTGTGAATAAATACTAATTGTTTATGAAAGATCTGTTTTGTAGAGTACCTAGACTTTTTTTACATAAGGAAAGACAATTATGATAAGTAAGGATTGACAATCTCTTTTATTGGGCAAGTATGTGTACAATAACAATTTTACAGGGTTTCTTTGAACTGCGCTCAATCCCAGGTTGAACTTCCACGACACAATTTCAGGCACATGCCCGACATGAGTAGTCCTGGAGTCGTGGAGGGATGGCCTACGTATCCCTGGTGAAACCACAGCGTGCAGGTGGTGCACTCAATCTGAAAGTGAAAAATGTTGCCTTGAGCATTTTCTTACATTTTGTCTGGTTGACATCACTCATCCAGATTAGGATGTAAAATTAAGCTATTTTAACTTCATTAAACAGTCATTCCTTATAATCCTGTGGCATTGTATGAATCTCAGATACTGTGTGTAAATCTTAGCTGTGTTCCTTTCTTTGTTCCTTCAGCTGCTCCAGTGTCCTCCGAAAGTGCAAAGACGTGCAAGTTAGGTGACTTAAACTATACATTTTCAGTCGCTGTGGGATTGTGAGTGTTCACCCGGTGATGTTGAGGTAAGGTGCACCCCAGTCTTCCAGCCAAATGTTGTTGGTCAGGATATAAATTAATCTCTTACCCACTCGTCAATATCAGCCCCTGAACCGAGCTCCCCACAAACCCGACACTGTTGGGATAGGTCATCTGTAAAAATAAGTTATTAATGTTGGTTAATGCCGACACAGAAACTACATTTATGTATACCTGTTAGAGTCCTGTATATCTGAGTTATTCAGCAGAGTCACTGCCATGTCCAGCCTCAACTTCGCCACACCCTCACGGTCCACAGGGTACTGAATTGTTTTCTTCAATAATATCTGCTCTGCAAGCTAAAAATTCCAGATAAATTTAGTTGTTTTTTTTTTTAATAATGACAGATGGCCACAGAGAATCACATTGTTACCTTGCGCACAAACACGCCACATGAAGTGGCATCCACTTGAATGATATGATCAATTGTGGAGCATGTCCATCTCCCAACTGCTGGACACTTCTTACGGACTAGTGCTCTACAAAGACATCACAGATTGATTACAGTTAGCCATTTTTACAAACATGACAATTCAGGATCAGATGAATGATGTTTGATAACAACAAAAAAGTACTTCACAAGGACACTCTCGTCTAAGCAGTAGTAACAAGAATTATTATTTAATTAGATAGGTGTTGCTCCTTAAAGATTAGCCTAAATGCATGATTTTTTTTCACACATTAAAGCTGATATTTCACGTACCTTGTGACATCTTTGCATTTATTAATCTGCTCTTCAGTGGCTCCAAATGGGTCGAGGTATAACGACCGCATTTCCTTAAGATACATGATCTATAGAAATGGAAATACCAATTATAGCCAAGCCGTCATACATCACATGACTCAGTCTAGATCTGAACATTGAAGATTACTTACAATGAGTGTCCAGTGTCCTCCGTTACAGACCGCTCCAGCTGCCACATCTTGCTTTAAAAGGTCCAACTGAAACAAATTAAAATAAATGCAAAACACACACCGTTAGCATTTTTGTCATATATACATACACACACGTGTCCTACTATATTGCTCTACTCACCCTTCTTAAACCACCTTTGTGAGTTCCCTGCCAGAGTGCCGTCATCATATAAGTGTCCAAAATGCATTCGCATTCGCTTTCCACCATTGTTATGTATGCATTCATGATCTATGAGTAAAACAGTAAGTTGTCATCAATGTCAAAGTAAAATATCAGTCCAATATCTTTTTTTCTTTTTAAGTACCTCTCCCTCCAACTGTTTTCCTGGGGCCAAGACCATCAGATTTTCAGAAAAAATTTGATATGGCCCAATCCTTGACCACAGCGTCTCCCCTCTCCGTCCTGTCCATACGTCTTGGATTACTGTAAACATAACAATGAGTTATTTGAGAAATTCAAAGTTTGTGATTGGATTTTGTATCAGTTTACTTACAAGTTTCAACGTTGGTTGTTTCTTGGCCCTTGTATGGAAGTTCACAACCAGTCGGTGGTGTTGATGTGGATGTTTGTGGACCAGCCAGAGGAGAAAGATCCAACACTTGTTTCAGTTTGGCTGGGATCCTCTCCTATGGCTGGAAATAGTGAGTCATGTGGTCTATGTTGGTTTTGGTTGCTTTTTTGCCCTTTTCTGTGGAAAGGACGGCACTTTTCCCTTCCAGCTGGGCTATTTTGTATGGACCTAACATGTCTGCCTCCATTTTTTCCCCCCTTTCTTTGCTCCTGTCGAATTTCTCTTTCTTTTACGGACCTTTCCTGGCCTTTTTTTATATTTTCTTGGACCTCACTAAAAATATCTTTGTGGTGGCGGGGCATGTTCGGGCTCAGCTGCAGAGGGGACAGAGTGGGGGAGTGGTTCAGGGAACGGTGCCGGGAAGAGGCTTAATTATGCGCAGCTGAAACCCATCTTGAATTGTGTGTCTCTCTCTCTCTCCCTGATATAAAAACACTAGTAGTGATGGAGGCGGGAGAGAGCGGGGCAAGAGACACAGACTGGCTGTGGGGCAGAGAAGTCGGGAGACCTCAGGAAGACCCACACGGCGTGCGCTCGGAGGAAGGTAGCAGAGCGCACGGCCCAGTCCAGCCTGTCTAAATAAAACTGAATAACTAAATAAAGAACGTTTGAGAAACACTATTTGACCGTGTGCTGGCGTACTTGTGCTCCCATGACCCACAGGCGTAGCAAGAGATTGTTACAATCTTTTTTTTTTTTTAGTCCTTGACTTAGGGGTCCTCTCGTGCCACCAGGCTGCAGACTTTATCCTCTGTTACCTGCCACAAATCACAGTTACAATGTTGAGGAAATAGATGATCCAAAGTCAATGTTTTAAAAAAAGGATGACAACATTAGAGAATCTTACGTCATACTCCTTTGGCACCTCTGAAGGGTACCGCGCCTCCCTCCCAAACATAAGAAAATAGGGACTATACTTGGTTGTCAACTGTTTTTTGGTGCAGAGGGCAAACATTGTTGACTGGAGGACTCTGTCCCATCTTGTCGGATTATCGACCACCAGTTAGTTCAGGGACCTAAAAATGCAGAAATCAAATACAGGCATTTGGTACGATAAAGCAACCTATTTTCATAAAGTATATCACTACTGATTGCCTGATTTTGTTCTGAACAGGTAATCAGTTAGTTATTCTATGAAGAGCTCAAATTCATTGAACTATTGAAATGAAAATATACCTCTGTATTGTGCCATTTAATTTTTCAACAAGGCCATTGGTCTGTGGATGGTAAGGTGACCAGAGGCTTCTCTCGATGCCCAGCTTCTCACACAGGTTATAGTTGACCTTAAAATTAACATTTGGTTAACGTGAAATAAGCATGCACAGCAGTAAACCTACATATTGGAGATTCGTAATGCATCATCGGTATACCTTATTGCGGAACACTGAGCCCTGGTCTGTTAGCAGTCTTTTAGGTGCACCAAATTTGTAAAAGAAATCAAGAATACAACTCACCTCATCTGCTGTTTTGCTCTTTAGTGGGTAGGCCTCTGCCCATTTGGTGAAATAATCAACCATGACGCATATGTACTGATTGCCCCCATCTGTTACCGTCAGTTTTCCCACTAGGTCCATACCCACCAGCTCAAGAGGCTCCGTTACCTGGGAGAAGAAAGAAAAGACTAGCATTAAAAGATCGTTCTGGTGTTTAAAAAAAAATAATTTCCTTTACCTCTATTGGAGTGTACTACTGCCTTTCTTTGATATTGGCCCTCTTGGCCTGGCACTGTGGACACTGAGCAATCTAAACAGACCAACATCATTTCAAACGTATGCTGAATATGTTATATTGACAATTTATAGTAAGATTTGATGCATACAAAAATCTGCTTCTTTTTTAAATATACACATTACACTCAACTGTGCTGTACTTTTGAACCTCAATGTGTTTTCCACATAATTATTTTAAAGAGACCAACTTACCCACTTGCGAATGTCGTCCTCTATGCCAGGCCAATAATATCGCAATATAATGGCACTGTGGGTTTTTTCTACTCCACAGTGACCACCAATATCGCTGCAGTGAAACTCCTCAAACACACGGTTGGCTTCCTCTGCAGTTGAAACAACTTTTGCCATGTGCCCTGCTCGGTTTTTTTTCCTCCTGCAGATATAGTACAGATCTCCATCTGGTGTTTAAATGTAATAGTATTAGTCATTGGGAGTTTCACCATATCAGATGGTCATTGTGTTGTAAAGTCCATGTGGCATGCATCCTTACCCTTTATCCTGAAGGTGCTGGCTCTCCTTTTGATCACATACTTGTGCTTGTTGATTGACCCCTCAGGAAACCGGTTGTGGAATTTGAATTCCAGTATTTGTTTGATAATTGTAGGATCCATTTCACTAATTTCACCTACACCAAATACTACTATCCAACTATACTATTATACTCTGTCGCTGTCTCTGTCTCGTATCTTAATTCACTCCTCACAAACCCACAAACTTTTGCCATGTTACACCACCTTATATAGCATGCCTGATCATTTCAATTGTCTACACCTGCTGCAGGTAGTTCAAAAATGAATGCCTCTTGATCACCAAACGAAAGTAACAGCCATGTGTAATCTACATAATAATAACAAAACATTAATTTGGGTGGTGTGGTATTTATTATAAATACATGTTGGCACATAGATGTTATGCAAAGCTGTACATGTGGGGACTTAGGACCCAGGGGAATGGGGGCGAAGCAGGGCAACCTGGGAAGGGGTCTGGACTGTACCGGAGCAGCTATGGAATAAAGAGTTGAGTTAAGAGCAGTCTGTTCTCACGATTATTGCTAAACACGACATGGTGTCAGAAGTGCTGTTAAACTAACTTGGGAAGAAAAGACGGTTCGAAGGGAAGGACAAAGATCAGTGAGCAGGTTCAATGAGTGACATTGACGAGGAGCAGAGCTAGCACTAGCAGAATGGCTAGCACATGAGGCGCTACGTTTAGCATACAGCCGCCGGAGCCCTTTGACTTTTCCAAGCCGCATGAGTGGACAAAATGGATCCGTAGATTCGATAGGTTCCGCCAAGCAAGCAACCTAACAGCAAGCTCTGAAGAGAACCAGGTGAATACTTTGATATATTGTATGGGAGACGAAGCTGACGATGTCCTAAGAAGCTTGACGCTCAGTGATGCAGACCAGCGCCATTATGCTAACGTAAGGGATGGTTTTCAGTTGTTCTTTCTGGTGAAAAAGAAAATAATTTACGAACGTACACGTTTTAATATGCGCAAACAAGAAGCACACGAGACTGTCGATGCATTTGTCACTGCCCTGTATGCATTAGCCGAGCACTGCAATTATGGGATGTTGCATGACGAGCTTTTCAGAGACCGGATTGTGGTAGGGCTGGCGGACACGCGGCTCTCAGAACCCATGCAAATGGAAAAAGATCTAGACCTGGAAAAAGCCATTAACATGGCAAGACAATCAGAAGAAATCAAAAAGCAGCAAAACACACTGAGGAGTGATGCCAGTGGTGTAAAACAGATGCTCGGTTGACAGAGTGTTTAAAGGCAGACAGCTAAAGGAAAAGTCTAAATTCGGCAAATTCAAAAGTGAATTCAAGAGCTCCCAGTGTTACAGATGTGGTGGTGTGCCCCACCCTAAACACAAGTGCCCTGTTAAGGATGCAGAGTGCCATTCCTGTGGAAAAAAAGGTCACTACCAGCGTGTGTGCCTTGCTGGTAAAGCCGTGCTTGGTATTGAGGAAGAGGAGGAGAGTTTCTTTCTTGGCTCTGTGACATCTGATGCTGATCCATGGACAGTTGATATAGACGTTATGGACAACATTTTCACTTTCAAACTTGACACCGGAGCGGATGTCACTGTTGTGTCACAGTCTGTTTTTAACAGCATTTTTTCCAATGCACAGCAGCCTGTCCTCTAGAAGGCAGAGAAGCCTTTGCTTGGTCCAGGACGGATTCCTCAGACTGCTGCTGAGGGTAGGAGCCAAGCAAACCATCGCAAAGGTCAAAAACTTGAGCATGCCGTTGCTCGGGTTGCCAGCCATTATGGCCCTTGGGTTACTCAATCGTGTCGACAGCATAGACATGGCGACCCTCAAGTCAAGCTACCCCAAGATATGCAGTCAAAAGAAACCATAGAAACTACGTGAAAGAGAGAGGAGAAACGATCGAAATGTTTATTTCCTGTTTATTCTACGTGGGTCCTGAAAGGCCACTCCTACCACACATCTGCTTTACACACTCTAACATAAACCAGTTAATTCAAAACCAGTTGATCTCGCACACCGGTAACGTTTGTTAGCTTGTAAGCTACGAACGTCACGTAACTTAACCGATCACTTTAACACACGTGATGTTATAAGCTCCCGGTAATAGAGAAGCTGCCGGTTAAGTTGGTTAACTAGTCAGCTAGCTTGTAAGCTACGAACGTCATGTAACTTAACCTGACCATTTTAACCAACGTGTGATGTTATAAGGTCACTTATTTTGTTTTAACATTAGTATCGGTGACATTCGAGTGAGTTAAAACCCAATACTTAAATTTAAAAGTGAAAGCTGCCGCTTCTCCAACTCCCGCATCACTCGCCGCCATGTTGGATAAAATAAAATCTTCACCGGCACGCAATGCATCTCGGGATATGCTGGGCC